GCGATCGTGCTCACGATGACGCACTTTATGACGCGCCCCGAGCTGGAGTTGGACTGGACGATCCCGGGCGAGTGGAACTACGTTGGCTGCGACGGACTGGCCCTGTCACCAGATCAGGAAAGGGTGAGTTGAGACAAGGGTAGTTGGCCTTCGGAGGCCCCGTCGTCGCCACGGCTGGACGCAATGTGGACATTTGGTGCGTTTGGATCGCGGAAGGGATCTTGTGTTTTTTTGCAGCTTTCGAGGGCCACCGTCGTGAATCAGAGCGTTCCGCAAACAAAACAGCACATGTGGGAGCCACCGGCCTAGTTTGCTTCGGGGCGGCCAGCGAGGGGGGCGATGACTTTTGGGGGGTGGATCTTATGGTGGAGCCCATGATATCTCCCCATATAATTTGCATGGCGCCCCTTCCTATTTCAATACGTCCCTCGGCCCCCCCCCACCCCCCACCCCCTGGGCCGCGCACGCGCCTCGGGCCATGGCTTGCGCGAGCCCCCCTACTGGACACTCCCCCTTCTCGGACGCTCCCGCTTTCCGAGCTGCGTCGGCCCGCGAGGGCCCCTGGGGGCCCGGAGGGTTTCCCGAGAGGGCCCATCGTGCTCTTGCCACAGCGCGCGGATCTGAGGGCCACCAGCGCCGCGGGGGCTCCCATGCCCCGTCGAGGGCTGTCTTTCCTTCTCTTTGTCCTGCTCCCTCCGCCTCCCTGGTCCTCCTTCCTTCCTCCTTCCTTGCTTTCTCCTCCCTGCTTTTGTTGCCCTTGCTCGTTCCTCCTTCCTCCTTCTCCTTTTTCCCCCATTCTGCGTACGCTCGTCTTCTCTTTCCTCCTCCTCCTCCCTGTTCTCATCCTCCTCTTTTCCTCGTCGGCGTCTACTCCTACGACGCCGTGGTTACCAGCGAATTCCTCCTGCTCCTCCTCCTCCTCCTCCTCCTCCTCCTCCTCCTCCTCCTCCATCGTGTCTCTTCCTCTTTCCTCCCCGCCACGGCCCCAGGGGCTCCTGGAAGGGACTGGCACCCGCGAGCGGGACCCTTGCGGCGGTCGGAAAGGTCGATCCGATCGCACCCGCGCGCCGGAGACACGGCCGCCTTCGGCGAGGGGCCCGGCCTGATGGTAATACATATATATATATATATAGAGATGTGTGTATATAGTGGCAGGAGGAGAAGGAGGAGCAGCGGCAGCAGGAGGAAGGGGGAGAGAAAGGACAGACGCGAAACACACGCGGCGGCGGGGGCGGCTCGGCACGGACAGGGAGAGGAGGGCGAATGAGTAGTTAGACGTGCTGGTGTTGGGCGTGCTGTTGGCAGTCGCGGCGGGCTACTGCCCAAGGGCGCTCAGCACCATCTGGGCATTCCCCGTGTGAAGGGTCAGTGAGATCTCCCGCCACAGGCGGCCGAGGGGATCCGGTGGCCCATTGGTGGGCCACGGTGAGTTTTCTGCTCTCGGATCTTGTGGGTTTCCTGGACGACCGAACCAAGCACAGGCCAAGTAGGCTCTTTGACAGACTCAGGGATATGGCAGCATCAACGCCTGTTTCTGCCACGCTGCCTCTCCCTGCTAGAACTCGCGCTGAATGGGTCCGTGGCTTACGAGTTCTCAGAGAAGCTTCGGACCAGACGATCAGAGATTTCGAAGTTAGAGCCAAGCAGAATTCGGTGCGAGCGCAGAGAGCTGTTTTGAACAATACCCTAACCTATTTCCACCAGTGGGTTATGCAGCAGGACCAGGCTGGAGGTCGAGGTCTGTATAACCGTATAAGGGATAAGTCGGTGTTTGTGGGGGAGGTTAGGGCTCGGGGGGAGACGGCTCTGGACTCTTGTCAGAGGATGGCCGTGAAGGCCGATATCTGGTCTCGCAAGTGGGCAGGAGACAGCTTGAGTTTTCCCAGGGTCCGAGCTCTTTGGCAGAAGGCCCAGGCCAGGGCCAAGCAGAACCCACGGCCCCCGCTTGGAGCCGACTGGCTTCGTAGGGTCATCTCAGCCCTGCCTGAAAAAGCTCCTGGTGTAGATAGACTGTCCAAGAAAGATTTCCAGTGGTTGCCGCCGCTGGGACTGCAACAGCTGGCGGATTTCTATAACCTAGTGGAGCAAAGGGTCTGCTGGCCTTGGCAGGCGCTAGTAGTTTTAGTCACGCTCCAGGTCAAAGACGAGGATTCCGACCGAGCGATTGGCCTGCTGGCTTGGATAGTCCGCTTCTGGGGGCGATTGCGAACCTCGGACCGAGCTGGTTGGACCAAGGAGCGAGCAGGGCCGTGGGACACGGCCCTTGCAGGAAACTCAGCCCTGCAGGCCGCGCTGCTCAGATTGTTCAGGGATGAGCAGGCTGCTCACTCTAGTCTGCCAGACCACCAGAGCGCGAGTCTGCTCTGGGACGTAAAAGGTTTCTATGATAGCCTCCGCTGGGATCTTGTCCTGGACCACGCTTTAGAGCTTGATTTTCCTCCTTGCTATTTGGCCCTGGAGCTCCAGGTCCACATGGCTGCCAGGTTTTTGAGAGAGGCTGGAGGTTTTTCGCTTGCGGTGCAGCCAGGAATGTCCTTGATCCCAGGCAGCAGTGGTGCAGTTGACCTAGGTAGAGCTGCTCTGCATTTCGTTTGCAGTAAGATAGCCACGGGCAGACCTCTACCAACACTGCACACCTGGGTAGATGACGTAGTGCAATGCATGTATGGTGACAGTGAGAGAGTCTTTTGTGAGCTCTCAAAGGTGGGCCTGGAATTGGTCCACGGCCTGCGCGCGATTAAACTCCAGATTGCTCCAAAGTCGGCCATCATTTCGTCTTCGGGTCCCTTGGCTGCGAGACTCAAGGATTTCTTCGGCGATCAGGGAGTGCGCGTGCAGGCCAAGCGTGTAGCTGCAGATCTAGGCATCGACCGAGGCCGAGTCAGTGCATCCAGGCCCAAGCAAGCCAGCAGGAGAGCCGGGGCCGAACGTAGGTTACAGCGTCTTGGCAAGCTGGCTCGGGGCAATCGTTGGTGCAAGAAATGGGCCCGAAAGATGGCCTTGACCTCGGCTTTTTCCAAAACTAGGTACTCGGATAAGGTCCATGGCACACCTCCCTCTGTCGTTCTTGGTTGGAGGCGAGCTCTTGGGAGGCTCACGGGGGGTGTCGCGAAAGGAGGGAGGTGCCTGACCACTCTGCTAGCGCTGGAGTACGGCAGACGTGACCCAGCCTTTTTCGCGATGTTTGACACGATCGAGGCCTGGTTTCAGATTTTGACCCACAGCAGTTTTGATGCTGACAAGACCCGAAGGGTCTGGAGGAAAGTCCTTGCCGAGCTTGAGCCTAAGCCAGCAGGAAAGAGATGGCGAGGCATAGGCACTCCTGTCGCTGCCACGATTGCCACTCTGCTGGACGTAGGCTGGAAACCTTGGGGTCCTTGGGCTTGGGAGAGCGACCTGGGTGAGCGGTTCGCGATTTCAGAAACCAAGCTCGGGCAAGGCAAGGTTGATCTAGCTGACCTGTTTGAAGCTCTGGCCCAGAGCAAAGAACGGCAGCTCTGGGAAGCTGCTGCTGCTAACTCGTGGAACGGGGCTGGGCTAGAGCAGGTCCCAGACCTCACAGACTTTAAGAGGCAGCTCCGCACGCTAGCTAGGAAGGGTAAGTTTGAATGGAGGGGCATCTTGCGGGCTGTGGCCACGGGCAATAGTTGGCCACGCGCGAGGCTCCAGGAATGTGGTCTCACTCAGGACAGCTCCTGCAAGAGGTGTGGGGAGTTGGTGGAGTGTGATTTGCACAGGGCTTGGAGCTGCCCGAAGAATAATGATTTCTCTAAGGTCTCTGATTTCGTTCGGAGACGAGCGTTAGTTGATTGCGAGAATAATCCCAGCTTCTGGCTGCGAGGGCTGACGCCTAGCAGCTGGACCGCCGCGCCCCCTCCCCCCGAAGGTGAGGAGTACCAGACCTACGGGGGGGACTTGAGGGAGGCGGTGGTGGATGGTTTCGTTTTCGGTGGAGGAGATGCCAGCGGGGGGCCTGACACCCAGGACCCAGCCCTCCGTAGAGTCGCCTGGTCTTGGGTTGTTTTCCAGGGCATCCGAGAGGGGTGTGTTTATGACCCTAGTGAGCTCCAGGCCCAGACAGTCATGTTTGGGAATGTGCCTGGATGGAGGCAGTCAGTCAACAGGGGGGAAGCTCTCAGTTTCCTTCAGTTTCTCAAAGCTGTCCTCCCTGTTGCGGATGCCTTCTTTGTGACGGACTCCAGTTATGTTGTAAAGAATTTCAGCAAAGTCCGATTGGGGATCGACCCCAAGTCTCATCTTGACGTGTGGCAGGCTGTCAAACTTTTGCTGGCTGAGCATCCGACCAGATCTGTGGTGCTAGCCAAGGTTGAAAGCCACCGTAGGGTAGAAGATGTCAGCGACCAGGGAACCGACCCCTTGTTTTTTCTGTTGAATGATCTTGCTGACCGAATAGCGGACCAGTGGGCTAAAGATATTAGAGTCTCACTCGCTGTCAGGGACACCAGGTCCCATGCCCAGTCGATTGCTTTCCAGGTCCGCCAGCACCTCGGTCATAGTCTTTTGGCCTCCATCGAGGCCGATGGTTTCCGTGCTCCTAGAGAATCGGTCTTGCGACCGAAGAGGAGGGAGATAAAAACCCAGCTGCTCTTGACTGCTCACCAGCCAGTTTGGGGGATAGGTTCCCAGGTCCGCTGTCACTGCTGTGGAGGTTGCGCGCCATACAAGATGGCCGACAAGTTTTTGGCCACCCCCTGCCACCAGGGCCTTTTTAGGGGTATGATTATGGTGCCAACTAAGAGCACCGTGAACGGCAAGGACCTGCACAGCTCCCACACCTTGGCTTATCACAAGGAGTTCGGGAGCACTGTATGTCTTTCTTGTGGCTGTGTAGCCACTCAGGCCGTCAGGAAATTAGCTGGTCTTTGTACGACCAAGCTGAATGCGTATGGCAGGCAGCAATTGAGGAGGTTGCAGCAAGGCCTGCCACCAGGTACCTCGAAGCTTGCCCAGACACAGCTGGCCCAGAAGAAGGCCTTGCGATAAACCGTTCAACTCTGCCTCTGGCCGGAAGGAACAAAAAGGCCTCGAAGACCATGGGGATCAGCCCGAGCCCCTGTCGCGAAGGGAGCCGCGTCCTC